AGGCTTTTTGTATTCTTTGTTATTCTAGTTAATGTAAATATATAGAATTTCTTAGGAAGATTCATGTGTACAATTATTGGATGATTGATTTTCATGACAGATAGTATACGAGCCATCCCAACTTTCTGAATTCCAAAAAACTTTTTACATCTGAGATACATATGCCACCATGGTTTCATATAACAGCCTACAGATCAGGTCTGGAGGATGAAGAGAAAGAGGAATCATTTCAAGGAGCAGAAGAACTGGGTAAGATAGGTAAAAGTTATAGGGAAAAAAAGTGATCCTGTTCTAGGCTTCACATTATACTTGAATACTTCAATTCTTTAATATCAAAGACATTTTTTCTGAGGAGATGGGGGATATTTGAGGGTTGAACCCAGGAGTACTTAACCACTGAGCCATATCCCCAGCTATTTTGAGACAGGGTCTAAATTGCTGAGGCTGGCTTTGAATTTGCAATCCTCCCATCTCAGCCTCCTGAGTCACTAGGGTTACAGGCATGTACCACTGTGCCTGACAAAGACATCTTTTTCTACAACTTTTTTTTTTTTTTTTTTAAAGATCTGACCTGTCAAACCATATTTATATTTAAATTCCCAAAAGAATAAAAATATACCAATTTTGTATTTTCACCCAAAAAGTATAAGCTTTTTTCTTGGCTGGTCCATACAGGTTTATCTCAGATAAATTGTACACCTTCTGGGGCTGGGGTTGTAGCTCAGCGGTAGAGCGCTGGCCTAACACGTGCAAGACCCTGGATTCGATCCTCTGCACCACATAAAAAATAAATAAATAAAGGTATTATTATGTCCAACTACAACTAAAAAGTAAAATATTTTTTAAAAATGTACAACTTCCATTCAGTTCATTCAGATAGCCTTATGTAGATATAGTCAATGACACTAAAGATCCACAATATTTAGCACCTACATGATAGCATTAAGCATTTCATACATGCACACAATATTATACATACACACTCATTCATTTAATTCTCCAAACAATCCTGGGAGGTAGTTACTATCATTATGACCATTTTAAAGATGAGAAATTGAGGCACTGTGAGGCTAAGTAACTGGATAGCATGGCATTAATACAGACATAACAAGAGAAATTGTGAAAATATTTACATAATTAATAACTAAAAATATAAATTAGAAGTCTTCCATTATTTAGACAGGCAACAAATGCTCCCTTGAGTCTACAAGTAATGATGTGGCCATTCAGCTGTGAAGTCCAGGAAGTACAGCAGACCAGGTATGGCCATGCACAGCATCAGGGTAAGAAATGAAAAAGCCAGCAAGTGACAGTGCAGCAAGGACAAAGCTACTCTAATTTTCAAAGAAAGAATCTGGACAACTGTGACCAACAATTAGTTTGTTTTCTTTGTGGGATTCAGGAGCATTCAACCACTGAGACACATTACAGTCCTTTTAATTTTTTTTTTTTTTTTTTTTTTTTTTTTTTTTTTTTTATCCTGCTAAGTTTCTGACGGACTGGCTTTGAATTTGGTGCTCCTCCTACCTTGGCCTCCCAAGCTGCCACCTTACTTCTCAGCCTCTTTATTATTCAATTTGTATAATGTTTAATGTTACTAAACCATTGCACAGGCATTGTTTTTAAATGTTTGTATGACATCTGTAGAAAGATAAACATTTTCCTAAACATTTAATGTGTTTTTGAGAAAGCATTTTACACCTGAGATTTGTTTATACCAACTTCCTTCCCAAACTCACAATTGCCCCATTAATAGAGAAAATGGTGCTACTAAAAGCAGCCCACAGTTCCTCTCTTCCTACTCTCCCATTGCTTCCCATCCCACACCCATCAAAAAACTTAACATTTCTCAAGTACAGTACACATACAGTAGGCACTGCTATCCTAGTGATCTATCCAAGCTGAACGAAATGCCTTATCTCAGGTGTAAAAACAAGGAAGTTGAAGAAAGGATAAAATGTTAACATTTTTATGAAGTACAAATTATTCGACTTAAAAGAGAATCTTTCATTCTGAGGTTGTCCTTACTTTTTCAGTATTAAAATATAATACTAGCCGGGCATGGTGGCACACACCTGTAATCCCAGCGACTCAGGAGATTGAGGCAGGAGGACTGCAAGTTAAAAGCCAGCCTCAGCAACTTAGGGAGGGCCTAAGCAACTTAGCAAGATGGGGTCTCAAAACATGGATTTGGCTCAGTGGTTAAGCCCCTTTTCCCCTCCCGTGTGTGTGTATTAACCATTGCTTACTTTTTATTGTTCTTACTGACCAAAAAGCCAGTGACCAAGTCAATCCCTGTATCTAAATGTTAATACAAAGAAACTCAGTCAACCACTAAAACCTAAATATTAGGATAAATAATATAGAATAAATAGCATGTATGTGTGCGTGTGTGGAGGAGCATAAAGGATTAAAAACTTGCAAAGTCAAAAGGAAGTACATATTTTACATTTAGCAATGAGGTAAAAACCAATTGACACTGATCCAGCAAAAAAAAAAAAGCAGAATACAACTTTACAAATTTCAGTTTCTTATTCAAAAAAGATTGTAAGCACTGATGATTTTCATTTTTTGGTGGGATAAAACAGGAAATAAAACAATGATAACTTTTACTTTTAAAATGAAAGTGAAGGGGCTCAGTGGTAGAGTGCTTGCCTAGCATGTATCAGGCACTGGGTTTGATTCTCAGCACCTCATCTGAATAAATAAAGGTCCCTTGACAACTAAAAAAATTTTATAACAAAATAAAAAATGAAAGTGAAGCTCATAATTCTCAACAATACTAGAAAAATAATATAAAACAATATCATTACTTTACTAAATAATAAGGCATCATAGAGAAGATTGTTAGAAACCAAGATTCTGAAGTCAAACAGAGCCCAGCTGTGTATTAGCAATGTAAACCTAGGTATGCTACTTTACCCTGTTTCCATTTCCTTAAAGGTTGTTGTATTAAATGAGTTAAAATATGCAAAGTGCTTAGAGCAGTGCCTGGCACTTAGTAAGTGCTTTAAAAGTATGTTACACATATAATTTAATAATGTGAAGCAACAAAGGCAAAGTAACGACTAGAATGAAGATGATAAATATTATGGGACTAAAAGTAGTGGCTAGTATACTTTCATAAAGTTCTTACAAAGTACTTAGCAAGTGTAAGGCCCTGGGTTCAATCCCAGCACCATTTAAAAAAGGAACCATTTTTATATACATAAAATATATAAGGATCTGTGTGACCTTATACTTTTTATTTTACATTATTAAAGTTAGAAAAAAAATCTGAATCCAGTTACAATACCCTCAATGACTGTTTACATTATATGCTTCCAAAGCTCAGAAATACACTACCCCAATTGAGTACACTACTGCATTGGAGAGAAAGCAGAAATTACTTCTACCAATAAAAGAAATTTTCATATCAGCAATAACTCAGACACATGATTCCTTGCCTATACACTGACCAAACTTAGTTATTCATATCTGAGTAAGTTTTCAGACAGCACATCAAGCTTCTATAGAGAAGAAGCAAACACCTGAGCACACAGAATAGGCATCAGCACTCCTTCAATTCCTCCCCTGGGATCCGGACTTGGCTTACTCTGCACAAGGGATTTTCTTAAGCAAGTTTTCTTAGTTCACCCTGTCATCTGACCCTTCTTCCAAGCCACCTCTACACCCAGGGTGGATTATTTACTTATATACCACATCACTATATTTCTTAGACATCCTTAGTATTCAAGAATAGTTGTCTCCCCCAGCATTACCTTAGAAATGCAGAATATTAAGCTGCATCAAGGATCTACTAAATTAGAATCTGCATTTTTAACAAGAGCTCCAAGTGATTCCTATGAACATTCAGGTTTGAGTAATGTTCTGACACTGCTGCAGATCGTTGTGATAATTAAGTGTTCGACTACATGTGAATTCAGAAATTTAGTATGAAAAAATCACCAATACATGGAATCTGAAAAGTCCAAAAACAAATAACCAATCTGAATTGGTTATAAATTTGACACCGACAAAGGTGTTCAGTGATTTTTCAGCAACGCTACGTTTAATGACTCCTGCTTTTATTTTGTGCAATAGCCCAACACTAATAATGTACAGTTTGGAGGGGTGGGGGGACTACATTTTGATGTACAAAGACTACTACAAAGTGATAGAAATTTCAGAGCATTCGTAAGTTAAAATTTCGGGATTTACTCCAATTCAGAGTTGATAAATACAACTCTGTCCAGAAAGTCATTCTACAAGGAAGATAACATCTAAAAGATGCAAACTTGGAACAGTTCATATTCCCGGAACTACAACTATTTAGTAACTGGTACTAACCATAACCTTAGGTCACGTGTAAGAAAAGAATGTTGTTGGGAAGGCTGTTGCCAGAAAGTTAAAAAAAAAAAAAAAAAATCAACTTTCACCCTCCGCAAAGTTTTTCCACATGTCCCAATGGATAGGCCTCAAACTTGCACGTTCTTACAGGTGAATAAGCTGAGGTCGTATTACAACAAACCAAGGAAAAGTTAAGGCAAGGTTTCTCTATTCTAAAAGCTGCATTTTAGAAGGCTGAAGGACTCCGGGCCCACTTCGCTTCCGGCCTGCGAAGGAAGCGTGCCGCCCAGGGCTGAAATGAACAAGGAAAATGACCAAGTAGGAAGTGAAGCCCTACTGCAGCCACCAAGCTCTGCCCTCTAGCAGGTTGGCCTTCCAGACTAGCCCCCGACCTCCCGCGGGAGGGAAGGCAGGCTGGCTGGAGGCAGCACCCCGCCCGCCCCGGAGCCGTGGGAGCCCCCGCCCGCCCCCCAGCTGCCTGCGGGAGGCGCACAGACGCGAGGCGGGCGGCAGCCGCCTGGGGCCTTCCCGAGACGGCGGCGGCGCGAGGGGAGGCAGGACCAGTCCTGAGAAGCCGGGGCGGGAGCGACTGCATGTGAGGGGCTGCACTGGAGAAGGCGGAGGGCTTGGGCTTTTTTACGATTATCATCATCATCATTATTTTGTTTTACCTGTGGCGCAGATGGGTTCCCCAGCTCCTATTCCCTGAATCCTCCTCCTCCCCTCCTCTTTCTGTCTGTCTCTTTCTCTCTCTCTCTCCCTCAGTCTGCCGGGAGCTCGCGGAACCTGCCGGGCCCGGCCCGACCTGAAAGAGAACAGGGCGGGAGGGGGTGGCGGCGGTGACCAGCGGCCACGTGACCACGCTCGCGCCGTAACGCCGGCCGTCTCCGGTAGCGCGCTCTCCCCGCGCTCCACCTCTAATAACCCCGCGGCTCGCGCGCCCGGAACGCTCGTGCGCAGGCGCCTGCGCGGTCACGGGGCGCGCTCGCTCTCGGGGCCAGGTGTCAGGGGCCCAAGAGGCCGGAGTAGGTGGGGAGTGAGCCTGGGGCCGGCCCTCCTCCCTTCGGCCGGCTGCTAGGGCGCATGCGCGCGGCGCTTCCGCACCCGCCTTCCAGCTGCTGGAGGCTGAGTCCGCAACTGTGTCTTCTTCCCAAGTTTGCACCCACCAGAACCTTCGTAGGTTGGAACTGAAGAGGAGAGAATTCAGCCCCTGGGACCCATGAGACTTGGCGCTCCTGCCGAAGAATTTACATCTTCTTGTCCCATGTAAAAGACCTTCCCATTTGACGTTTTTCTGTAGCTGAGTAGTCCTCTAACCCAGGTCGTCTGCCATTCTGAAATTTATCCAAAGCTGCCATACTCACTAGCACTCTGTGGAAACCTACTTTGTTATAAAACCCATAGAAGTATAAATGTCATAAAAGTTATTTTTTACAAGCCCACGGTGCTAAACTCAGGTTTTATCTTTTCCTCACAACCTAGAACTGAATCTTCAGCCCAGTAGTATCTCCCTGAAGGAATGATGACAGGTCACCTGAAAACAATCAATGTCTAAACCCTTGTTGCCCTCGACCTCTGGTTAATCATGATTTAAGATTCCCTTCAGCTGGAGCACGTGGGACGCTGGTGCTTATTTCCCCAATATGAAAGCCTTTGAGTGGTAATGCTAATTAGAGTGGTAAATGCTTCACCTAGTAAAAAAGATTTATGGTCTTTTATTAGGCTATCTTTACAAAGAGCTCCAAAGGAAATTGATTCTGTTAGTTCCCGAGAAAGGAAACTAAGGCAGAGAAAGTTCAGATTTCCAAAAGTTAACTACCTTGAGAGGAAGATGCCTGTGTGGGAGACCTTCCTTCATACACAAAGGCTCCACTTCACATAGGGATTTCCTCTTTTTCTGTCACCTTTCTTTCCGTTACAAAAACTAAGCAGGTTAAGTTAGAGCCTCTGGCTGGATTTAATCAGAGCTAATAAATAAAATGTATAAACTTCCTAATTGGATGTTCTGGCTAGACTAGTCATTGTTATCATTAGACTGGTGGATACTGACCTGATGATGTTCAAGAAAAGAGACTAGCAACAAAACCCTAGGAAGTGTTGGGATGTATGCTTAGGAAAAAACAGGCACAGACAGCCCCAATTTATTTTTTTGATGGTGCAAAATCTACTTGCATTCTGTAGAAACTGGTTTGAATTTCAGTCTTCACCAGACTAATGATAAGTGACATGATTATCATGGTACTGGGCAGCAACAGCCAGCTGTAGTTCTGTCAACCATATGATCATGAAGGTAAACAACCAATGTTCTATAGTGTACCTAGTGGACTTTCTTCTCCAGCCTCCAAAACATTTCTCACCCCAGATCCTCATCACCTCTTTCCTGAACTACTAAGGATTGAGCCGGTTCTAGGTCACAAGGAAAAGTCAGTCACTCAAGCACCCAGGTTACCTTATCAGTTTATTAGGCAAAAAGTGAGATGTGGGGAACCAGCCCAGTCATCCCCCATTACCTCTATCCTGGTGCTTCTCAGACTGGGAAGCCCAGTTAGACCTCATAGACTGCAACTACAGTGACCCTTTGACCACAACAATAGCTCTAGACACCTATCTTCTCTCTGGCTTCCTACTTCTTACTCCCCAAGAAACAAACTGAAGGGTCTATTAGATCCCAGTTGATACAGAGCACCCCATGAGGCAGAGGGTGGCCAGCAATCTTGGAAAAAGACACTAAAGCAATACAGCTGATAATTAGTAACGCTATAAAATATAAATATTCTATAAAATTCATCTCAAGTTATGCTACTTATAATACAGTTCAGGTACTTAAGGAAGAAGAATTAAATTTGAAGCAACATCAGCATTCTTAGAAAAATGAAAATTGTTGCACTTGTTTTTACAGCTACTTGTGTGCTCATTGATTCTCATCTTCAACATCTAGGTGTATTCTTTGTCTTGGGGCATGGCACAAAGTGAAACACAAAAAAATGAAATGTTCTCTAGGAAAGGTGAAAGCTGAGGGGACAGCCCTTGACAAGACTGGCTTTCCTCTAGAACTCTACCTAAGTGAACACAGCCTGCCTCACCCAGGCTAGGCCACCATCCATATCCCTTCTCCCAGCTCTTTTCTCCTTTATGCTACTGGATTTGCTCAGACAATTTAGCCATCTTCAGATCCTGGAATTACCACAGTTGCCTGGACAAACATAATAATAAGATGTACATCCTGCAGTATGGCATTGCCAGTGTGAAGCGAGAGGGTTGTGGTAAGAATGGGCTATGTGTGGGACTGGAATCAAGGATCATCTCCTTTGCTATCCGTTATGGCACCCATGGAAGTAGCCCACTCAGATCTCCCAGAGTCATCCATTAAAATGCAGCTAATCCCAGGTAGAGAGAACAAACTAAAGCCTTTCACCATTAAGAAAATAAGATTGTTTAAAACTTATTTTAACTATAAATTTGATTAAGATTATAATAAAGATTGTGATTATGATAATAAAATTACTACATTTTTAAGGTATTCCCTATTCTGTGTTCTTGTAGAAGATGCTTTTGGAGACTGTTTTTCCATTTTGTAATAAAAACTATTAACCATCATCCTTAATTACCTCTTCTTTCTCCCTACTCCTAATCTTCCATGAAGGACTTGAAACAAACTAGGCCAATCAACTTCTCTTTCTGAAAAAGTTGAGAAATGGGATTAAAAGGCAACTAGTCAATCTTTGTATGTTGTTGGAACTGTAAAACCCAAGAGAGTAGACCACATTATCAGCAAGGTCTAACCAAGAGAAACCATTTATTTATTATAGAGGGAATGGGGGTTTTTAGAGATTAGTAACAGCAGGAGGGAACTGTATCGCCCCTTAGCTGACAAGATACAAGAAGATACCATGTTACTGGTAGTCTTGGAATGGGGTCATCCAAGGCAATAAATACAGAGTCTGGTTTTATGCAGAGAAAGCTATTTAAGGTAGTTTTTCTCAGAAGCTAACTTTTAGCACAGCAAGCACTTGTAAGGTTTACCCACCCTTCACCACCAATCTTAAGGAATAGAAGAAAGTTTCCTAAATAAGAGTCACAGTTATTTGGCAAATGGAGAAGAGGTGTTTGGCAGGAAAAACAATATATGTTTGCTATGTTCCTTCTGCTAGATACCCAGAGCATGTATATACCTTTCTTCTAATATATAATTTCAAAACAATCTCACCTAATATAAAGTAACTATTTACTAATCCTGTAATTAAAGAATGACTATTAATAATAGTCAATCATTCCAACATTAATCATTAGGTTTTTGGATTTAAAGTAATTTTAACTCTCATACTAGTCATGGAAAATAAAATGATATTATTTAGAAAGTCTACCAAAAATTACACTAAAACCAGAAATTGATTTGTATGTAGTGTCTGCATACCTATGTGTGATAGACTGCTGGCTTCTCCTCCCTTCCAAATCTATTTTTCTCTTCTTCCATTGGAATTGAGTTTTAGCTGGGCACATGGCCATCCATCTGGAGGCTACATTTTCCATTTCCCCTCATGGCTGGGTGTGGCCATGCAACTCCATTTTCATTCATGGAGCATAAGAGAAAGCAACGTGTACATTTTCAGCATTGCTTGCTTAAAAGAAAATCGCTCACCCTATGCTACCTCTCCTTCTCCATTCCTGCCCCCTGAAATAGACATGGTAGTGACCCAGCTCCCAATGTGCACAGCCTGACAGAGCAACCAGATGGAAAGAAACTGGATTTCTGGATTGCTCTGTGGAAAACTGCCTACCGGAACTAGACTGCTCCATTACACCTTTAATTAGAGAGGAATAACTTATGCCTTATTTAAGCCACTAAAATTTTAAACTTTACCCTACTTAACACAATATATGAGGCATTGTATTCTGTTAACTAATATGTGGAAATATCATGAGAAACTAGATCAGTTTTTGAAACATAAATCCATTTGTCCTTAGAAGAAATGATGTCAACATTTTAGATACCCGAGGAATGCCAAATGCCTTGATACTACCAGCTCCTTTTTTCATGCCATCATGCTTTTAATTATCACCAGGGCAAACATGCTCAGTTGCTCCTGAAGACATTAAAAGGCAGGATAAATGCACAGACTCAGTAGTAGAATTGCCCAAGTTCAATCCTAGCTGTCTTTATTTGCTTATGATAAAACCTGAACTAAGGCATTACTTATCCTTTGTGGTTTCAGATTTGTCTGTGAGATGAGGGTAATAATAGTGTTAGGTGTTAGGTTGTTGTAAGCATTACATGAGACAGTGTTAGGTTGTTGTAAGCATTACATGAGACAGTCTCCTATAACACATTTAACATATGGTAACCATCCAATTAAAAAATAGATATTATTATCATCTTGGAGTCTTGATCAGAAAAGAAAATCTGTATGAAGAGCAAATTATTCTTCGTATAATAATAATGATTGAAAAATCAATGTTTAGACACTTGAAATAGGAAATTCTGGACTTGACTTTGAACATCAAAAAAAAAAACAACAAAGATATTTTTGCTGTATTGCCCAAACATTTACTATGATATACCCACTAATATGCCTAAATGGTAGTAAAAGGGATGTCTTCACTTATGTTCCAAAAGTACCATATCTCAAAGCTTTACCCTAGAAGGAGAAAGAACTCTTAGGAGGGACATTATCAGCATTGATTTTCAACAGTTTTAAGGAAGGACCTAGGACTCATGATCACAATTAAGTATGTAAAATCATTTCCTTGAAGTTTTTGTTCTCTATGATTGCAATTATTTCCTACTGAATTATATTTTCCTTCATCA